TTCCCTACATGAATTAGCCTGCATTTTCCAAAATTAATTTTGTTTTGTAATTTTTTTCATTCGTCATCCCTAATTTTTTTGAGATACCCTTTGGTATGTTTCCGTTTTTCCCATTCCTTCCAATTGGGTGTCATGTTTAAGTCCTGTTATTGTGCAATATAATTAATGCACTTTCAAAGTATTTAAATACAATTATTATTGTCTTGCAGAATCTGTATTACACCAAACAATACTTTGTGAAATGTACTGCTATTTAGCATCATCTACAGAAAATGTTAAAGCCATGTACCATTGTTTCTATTCAGAATGGATTTTAATGATGTGATTTCAAGTTATATTTTATCATCACAACCTTTGTCTTTATTGAATATTATACTTAAAAGCAAAAAATGTGGGTTATTGTTGTGCAAAAAGAGAAACTGCACCTGTTGTGAATCTCAGCTAGTTAGGTATTTTGTGTGTGACCTGGATTTTCTTGTGTAATTTAGCACTTTTAAAGTTGATAATCATTTGCTCGAGATACTAGGTTTATCTCATCGAACAACCTAAAATGACACCAAAAGATGATGACAATCACATAATGCTGATTAATCACACGTATGTGATCTCACCACAAGCTTTTTCATCTCCATAGATTTCTGAATAAGATTAGTATCTGTCTGCCTACTTTAATGTGTGACCTGTAGCACAAGTCTTAAGCCCTGTCATTTTCTTAGGCTTGAAGGTTATTTTATTTGAACTTTTCAGAAAGAAAGATTGTGCAGGATTCCTATTTGTGACATTAGCAATGCAGTATTGTAAATACTTCAAAGCTCTAAGAAAGGAAAACCGATTACAATGTTACCTGCTTGGCATTAGGTACCAGTAGCAGATTTTCAGTGTAAATAAATGGGCTAAATATCTTGATAAAGTGTGAAGCATCACCTTAAATTACATTGTGCCCCCAGAATCTCGATTAAAAACTAGTTAGCTGTGAAGCGTTAATTTATTTTGTCTAGACAGAATGCATTCGTTATCCACAAACAGCAAAGCAAACACTTTTAGTCTTAAAAGAATGAAATCAAATAGGGCTGTCAATGTAATGCTTTACTTGCTGAATTATGAGTCTTCATGTATACACTATCATGTTTTGTTTAAATTGCTTAGATTTTGGCCTGCTCGGTAAATTTCTAGTCTGCATCATGCATTTTTTTAATGAAGAATGAAATATGATTACCAGGGAAAGGCTCTAGTTCAGCTTTGTTGTAGTCCCAGATGTGCACCTGGTGCTTTTGTGTACTTGTGTGTTAAGCTGAGAGGCATCGTTGTGACAGCATCTTGTTAATGAGCTTGGCTTTAATGCATAGGAGAGGTCTGAACGGTAAGCTTATAGCTAGTAAAACAACTTTAAAATTTAACCTAAACTTAATCAAGCTACTGAAATGTTAACGTTGTGGTTTTTTTTTTTTTCTTTAATTCGCTTTTGTGTTGGAACCTATCTGCTTATGCAGTGCTTCTACCTTCTGTTGCTTTTCTAAGTGCCAGCCTCTTTCCCAAAGGTGTTCAGTGACTAATGCTTTGGTTTCAAGCCAGAATAGCTGATAAATGTCTATTTCTAGGCAGCCTTTCTACAAGTCTTAATTAAACTTTAATGTCAAGCTGAAGTTTACTTTTAGCCCCCTGTAGGGTGTCTGTATTTGTAACATGATGATAGAACATTACATAGATCATAAGACAGGCATGTTCGCTTGCCCTCTGTGTGTCCTGTTTCATATTAACTCCATCCTCTAGTTTAAGTACAAAGAGTGAATTTTGAAATAACGTCTGAAAATTCTGTAGCAGTAGCACATTGCTGTCCTCATCTCCAGAGGAAAGGACCTATCTGGTAAAAGCCAGAAGCGCGACTGCTCTGGTAACAATTTTCTTGCTCTCACATTAGTAACCTCAGGCCTTAAAAAGCACAACACTGGAGTTGACCATCATATGACTGGTGTAGTACCTTCAGTTACACGACTGAGTAAAAACTCCAGCTGAGGGTTGTCAGAACCAAATGAAATTAACTAATTAATTAACTAGTTAATTAGCAGTAGAGGAAATTTTTTGCATACAAGCTATATGTAGAATTACTTTTCATTTACATTATGATCATTATTTTTATAGGCCTCATGATAAGAAAACATATCTCGCTGTTGGAAGTATGAAGACTTTATTGTTGAACATTTCTCTGCTTAATGTTGGAGATGATGCATATGAAACTGTCCTCCACTTTCAGATCCCTAAAGGTCTTTATTTCATCCGGGTTTTAGAATTGGTAAGAACAACAACAACAAGTCTGTCAAACAGTAATCATTTGATATTTTTCTTTTTCAGCCAGATCTTTTTCAAATTATGTCAGTAGATTGTTGAGTTTCTTTAGATATTGACCACCTACACACACCCCTCCCCCCAAAAAAGCTGACAAAACTCCAGTTTTAGAGTTCTGGGATTTCTAGCTACCTAAACCATGTGCAATTTAATCAATACAGGTGACTTAAATCATTTCAATAACAGGATGTGATGGTAACAACAAAATTTTTTTTAAAAATGGTTTCTAAATGTATTTCAGGATGTTACTGCTACTTCTTGTCTGATGATCATGTTTTCAGTGATCACAAAGATCTCCTTGAATCTGCTCTTTTTCACAGGTATATAGTCTTGCAAAGAAGTCACAAATCTAATTGTTCTCTCTTTCTGCCTCTTTAAAATACCTGCTCTCTGTGTAGAATCCCCCTGACACCTTTCAGAGGTTGGCTTTAAACTTGAGTGGCTCTGGGTCTGATGCATACGCCTTGACTTCACTATTAGCAAACAGAAGAGGAAGTAACAAGATGCAGTAATCAATATAAGGATATGTTAAAATATGAATGTTCTGTATATTTGAATCAGTGAAATAACAAACATCTAGTTCAAGGAAATATAAACCACCCAATTTCAGTGTGTGAATATAATTTGAAATGTCTGAAAAAAGCAGGTTTATTTTAATCATTTTTGATTTGTCCTTTATTTTAGGAAGAAAAACAGATACATTGTGAAGTATTAGATGATAAAGAAATTCATGCAGTGAAACTTGAGTGCAGTGTTGGTTATTTATATGTAGATCACAAATCAAAGGTAAGCTATGTATGAAGTTCCTAGCTTTAAAAACACCCTAAATATGATGAGAGGCTTTTCAGGGGGGCAAAAACTTGTTTCTCAGAATCTCTCCTTCATTCCCAACTAACATCTTCTGTCATGTTGTTTTAAAATCAGTTGCTTAAACAATCTTTGGAATAATACATTAAGGGACAACATTGTTTGTATTATACAGCAACTGATTGTGCTTGGCTTCCTAGTCAAGTGAGCTGACTAAGGCTGTGAACAAGTCTGTTAGGTCAACAGAAAGGGAGTAGAAGACACAAAAAGCAAGTATTTTCTTAGTTCTGCATTTTTTTACACTAGGAAATTCTAAATTACTTTAATAAAATACTTTAATTTAAACTGTGTTAAGACATACTATCATTTGATATTAAAAAAATGTTATTTCTCCTACAGCTGGATTTTAGTTTCCTCTTGGATGCAAGCTCACTTACCAAAGCAGATGACGACCTCAACATCCCTGTTAATGCTACCTGGTAAAGTCTAATAAAAATTGCTCAATGAAAAAATATTACTAGCTTTGGAAAACAGACTAGGGAACACTGGAGAGACTTAGCAAAGCACAATTGCAAGAAGTCACATCTGTTGCAAATCTGTAGAGAAAGGGAAATTACAAAGAAAACAAGTAATAGCTATTTAAATAATGAGCAGGTTTCTGCCTGTACAGAACATTCTTTTTTTTTAACTGCCTGACATGTTATCAGTAAATTTTTTTTTTAATAAGCTGAAAGGTCTGTTTAATATTTGTTTATAGAAATAATGCATAGCATATGATGATGCATTTGATATTCATTTTTCTTTCATTGTGTTTTTATAGTAAAAATGAAGATGGGACTATGTTGCTGGATAACACGCAAACTTTAGCTGTACCTCTAAAATATGAGATTGAATTAAATGCTCATGGGTAAGTCAGCTATTGCTATACCTGCACAGCCATAGAGCTGTTGTCTTGTTACTATTCTAAATGCCCAAAGCTTTCACGCAGAACTGCGATGTAGCTGAAAAGTCCTGGGAATGAGATGGCACAGCTGTCCTGGGGTCTGACCCATACACTTCCTAAGATCTTGTTTCCAGTGCTCTGAGATGAGACCAATGATATCTGTGGTGCTTTGAACTTGTCCCTTAACAGACTAATACTTTTTAAGAATTGGAATATTTTTTATAGAAAGAGGTATTTAATAAGAGCACAGCATAGCTGAGATTCCTTGCTTAACATAAACCAAATTCTGGGTTTGTTGTGGGACGTTCATGGAGCATAGTTTTGGGTGAGGATTTACAACTTTCTCCGATTCATCTGTCTTTTTAAGAGGAAAGAGTACAAAGGTAGAGGACTTCTACTCAGTACTCCTAGATTTACTTAAATGCAAACTCGGGTATTTTCTTAGAATCAATCTCACTAGAGATAGCATGGAGCAGAAAGTTATGCTAATGATATATAGCAATTCTATTAATTAACCACTTCTAAACCATTGTAGGTTTGTATCACCAGCTTCATTTGTTTATGGAACAAATGAGAAAGATTCACCAGTTACGTGTATGAAGGAGAGTATCAACTTCACTTTCCATGTAAGAGTTTTTCTTTGTAAACCCTGTTATCCTTGTTTAGAAGGTTAATGCTTAGATTTCCAGTGTATCTAATGACAGTCTGCACAGTCAATAAGGGAACTTTACAAGAGCACGGTAAGCAACTTTTGTGCATTAGTGATGGGAAGTGGCTGTTAATCCCTCTTTGAACACTTTTTTTGGCCTGAAAAATCTTTCACTGAATGGTCAGAGAAAAAATACTTGGCACAAGCAGGATTGAAAGTGGTAGCACAGTTCTGACTTGCCACTTCGTCCATTAAGAAACACTTTAAAAGGAATTATCTTATGGTAAGCAAAAGGAACTAGGAGCTCTTTATAAGAGGATCTATAGGTATCAGATTTGTCTCTAATGCATTAAAAGCAGGAGTTAGACATTAATGTCTCCTAGTTCCTTTTGCATATTCTCCTGGAAGGCAGGCTGTATGACCTCAGGGTAGTCATCACAGATTAGCGCTACTTACTCAATAGGTTCAGAGAAGTGAAGGGTTTCGTAAACCTACAGAATGAATTAAGCAACTCATCTCTTTAAATGTCACAACTCCTAGCAGGATCTACTTTCGTGACAGGGTAACAATGCAGGTGCCACCCCGTTCTGTGAAGTTTTATGGGGGTTTTGGGGGGTTGGTTTTGGGGGTTTTTTTGTTTGTTACTTGAAGAGCTACCATGAATTAAAGCTTTAAATGTGTAACATTCTTCCCCACAAGGTTATCGGTGCAGGACCAAGCATGGCTCCAAATACAAACTTAGAGATAATGATACCTAATGCTTTTCCACCCGATGACTCCAAATTATTCAACATATTGGATATCAAGGTAAGCACAGGTTACTTCATATAATTTTATTAGCTGTACAAATTCTATGAAAAAGAGAAGCAGAGCATAGCAGAACTAGCTACTAAGTATGTGTTTGATTTCTATCCGTTTCTTTCAGTCATACCTAATACCTTAGGTGCTTATTAGAGTCCCCCTGAATTCAGTGAATCCATCTGTGCAAAGCTTGATCCTTGGCATGCAGCTGTATTTGTCAATTCTTTCCTGCTGTTAAGGAGTAGAATACACTGTATTAAAACAAATCAAAGAATTTCTGCAGTGGGTAACTCCTTAAAGAATCCAGTCCATCAGTCTTAATTACTGTATATCAAACAGAATATTCATGGTTATGTAGAATATATAGCATACAGTCTTTTCCTTTGTAGAACATTAATAGTCATAAGAATCAGCTAAAATAGGGTGCAAGAGATTCCTTATGTCTACAGTATGTCTAAATATGCCTACCGTAGTTGACTCAAATGAGCACAAAAACCTCAAGCCCCTTTCTGGTTCAATCATATCTACTTCCTAAACCGTTATGTGTAACTCAGTGTACACAGAAACATACAAGCTTGTGAGCTGTGGGGAAGCAGAGTGAACAAGAATGGGATGATCTTCAGTCCATGGGTTTTAGAATGCTGGAAGTAAAAGTTACATTCCTTTTGAGGTTCTTGGCTTTCAGAAATCTGTATTCCAATTATCTGATGTTTAATTTAATTCTAACAGTGCATAATTATGTTATTTTTATTTCCAGACAACAGTTGGACAGTGCTCCTATAATCAATATCCCAGAAACTGTAGTGCAGCAGAAAAAAATGAAAACATATTAAAGGATCTTGTCACTTTCTTTTCAAAACCTGCTAAGAGACAAATGGTAAGGTCTGTCTTTTGGCATCAGTGGGAAATAAATGACTGTATGAAGAAGCTGTAAGACAACTGTATATCTTACATGATGAGGTCACCAGAGCAGTCTTCCCAGGATTTGTGGTGTGACCTCTGATAAGTTCAGGATAGTCATAAGTGACTTCAGTGAAAGAGGTGAGAACTGAGATGAGGAAGTAGATTAATGACATGTCACTGCAGTCAGTGTGGATGACAGTCACCTACAAAGAACTGCAGAATGGTTGTGTAACAATCAGTGGGCAAACACCACAACAGATGAAATCCAGTAACAAATCCAAAAAGATGCATGTGGGAAAAACAGTCTTAATTTTAATTACATGAAGTATGCAGATCAAATATTCATTGTCTTTTCCACATCAAAAAAGTGCCATCAAATGTAACTAATAAGAGCGAAGTTCAAAAAAAAAAAAAACCAACCCCAAAAGTAGTACTCATGGTAGAATTTCTTACTGAAGGGTTATGAACGCTAAAAATAAATTAATTCCAAGGGAGACCATACAAGTTAATGGGACTGAAAGTCATCAAGAATAACAAAATATAGGGAAATGATTTTTGGCTCAAGAGCTTCTTATTAAAAATATTTGGGAGGCTGGGAGAATATTGTACATGCCTGGCCTGTTCAAGCTCATCCCTCTGCACCTGCTAATGGACCCTGCTGGAGATGAGATACTTGACTATGTAGTCCAAACCAGAATTGCTATTCTAGTGTTACATTTTTGAGGGTTTGTTCTCATAGAAATCAGTGTCCTGCAACTTGTGTTTGATAAAGTACAATTTTGTTTAATACTTTCATCTTAAAAGAAGCTGGACATTTTAAAAATATGTTAATTCAGGATTTTAAGTAAGCAAATTACAAGGAACATCAAACAATGATTGAGAGACAGCCTGCACTAGAATGTCACATCAGAACTCAGGCATTGCCATCTTGGACAAATAATATAATCATTGTGTACAGGCTTGCTTTTTTGTCTTCTCCAAAGTTGAGTGAAATGGTGCTAGCTGGCAGTGTACAAGTGTAAGGATCGATCAATTACACTGTTTATACCAGATATCATATAGTCATTGCCATTTACCATTCTTGATAAAAGCTAATTTGAAACAACAGTGTAAAAAAGCCATATAACCAAATCATGACAATTGTTACTTTTCAGTCTAAAAAAATTTGAATTTTTAAGTAAAATGACCTGTTGTCTTCTATAACAATTAGGTTGGTCCCTTGTACTGTTCCTTTAGCACCTATGGATTGGCAGTGATGGATGACAACCTAGAGTTACACCCTGACTTTTCAGGAAAAAAACACAGATCTTTTTTTACTATGTTCCTGAGTGTCTTTAATACTGAGATGATAAAGTTGATAAACCTAAGTTTTAATCTTTCCCTCCCTTCTGCAGTACTGCATGAAAAATGACAGCCTTTGCTTGCAAATACATTGCAAGCTTGGAAACCTGGAAAGTGGAAGAGAAGCAACCGTTCAGTTGCATCTGGAGGCTACTCCTTCACTTTTAGAAATGGTAACACGGGAATTTTTCATACTTGAGAGGAATAGTTCAAGGCATATTTGCAGTATTCTCTGCATATAAATTCTGAGTAGTAATATATTTTTGCAAACAATGTGATTAAATCCAAATCTTTGTAGGTGTTACCTGTTTTTTGTTTTCAATGCTAAGTCTCAAGGTGATATATGAAAAATTAAAACCACTGAAAAATACGTATTTTAGGTTATCACTTTATTTTATAATATGTGTTGCTTTGCCTATTCTGGTTGGGTTATGTAGGATTGGGATTTAATTTCAACTCATAACTGTACTTTTCTAAGAAAAGCAGCATGGATGTGGACTTAAGTAAAATCCAACTGGGCTTCGTTCCAGCTTCTGGTACTAATTTGTTTTGTGATCAGAAAAAGGCACCATTGTGTGTTTGTGTGAGATTCTGTTTCTGTGAGCAGCTGTGTTACCATTTTTGCTGGGTAGGAATTAATGTGTTGAAGTTATTTTTTTAAAAGATAGACTTTTTTTTTAATCAGGATGATGCATCAGTATTGAAGTTTGAAGTAAGAGCAACAGCCTCACCAGAAAAAAACGCAAAAGTTATTGAACTACACAAGGACAAGCAAGTTGCATATGTAAGAATTCTCTTAATGAATTTTTAATAAACTTGTTAAAGGAGAAAAACCAACAGCAATTAAAATTGTGGAATTCTATACATATCTATGCACAGGCAATGAATATAATGTTAATTACTTAAGAATGTAATTAATTTTCCTAGTTTGTTTCAGTATCTTTTAGGGGAAAAAAATTAGTTAGCACTAAACTTATTTTCTGCTTTCCAGGTCTATTTGGAAGGAGTGCACCACCAAAAGCCAAAATACCGTGTTACTGTGCTAATTATTGGAATAGGCTTAATAGTTGGTGTTACCTTGTTTTTGCTTCTTTCATTTATATTATGGAAGGTAGGTTTTCAGTATTTCTCAGTTGTTCTCAAGTCAGGAATGCACACTGTTGGTGGATCTTTGGATCTGTTAATGCAGATTAAAACATAAATAATACTTTATTATTATCTGTCCTTTCTAAAGAAACATAATTCCTCCTGTAACTTGGGTTTTTTCAAAATACTTTTCCCTTTTCCTTCATTTTATCTTCTGCATATTCTACATCTTCTGTTACTCAACACCACAGACCCCTTCCCATGTTTGATATGGTATCTCATGTTTGCAAATGATTTACATAATTTAATGATATCAAATGGATCATATTTGTGGGATGGTGCTCCACATTTAATGTCACTTGACACATGATGACTAATTGGCTACAACATAGTTTCATTCCAGAATAAAATGTTTAAGATTTTAAACTGCAGTATAAATGCTAAAAAAATCCTGTGCATAATTAAAAAAAAGAAAACTATGAAGGATGCACCTCCTCTGACAAGCAATTAAGAGACTGTTAACTTCTTTACCTACATGCAGACTTTCTCCATCCAGCCTTTTTCCCAGGGAAGTGTAGAAATGAAACAAGTTTCACAGGAAAGTTTTATTACCATTTCACATTGTAAAAAATACTGGATTCTGTGGGCTGTTACAGTTCACAAGCCCACATGTGCTTACTCCTTGAAGGAGAGTATTAGCCTCCCAAAAAGTAAAAGAAAAAGCAAACCCACTTTTTTGATTGATGAGTAACACTTGATTACTTGGTATGACAAAGCAATGGCAAATACCATTGTTCATAAGCACCACAGATACGCATTTTATTTTAGTTCATCTTTTATGGTTTAGATTTGATAACAACAATTTGCTGACAACAGATTCCAAAATTATGTATTTCAGATTGGCTTTTTCAAAAGGCAATACAAACCAGTCCCTCAAGACAAGAACAAAAGAGACAGCTGGAGTTTTACAAATGGAAACAAAGATGAATAAGATGGCAAATAAACGTTTGGTTTTAAAATGAAGAATTTAATATTCAGGTTCATTCATGGGAGATACATCAACGACAAGAAAACCGGTCTTGAGCTTACTCACTCTTTCAAAATAGGCTTTAGTTCCTTGAACTGTATGGCGGACTACACCTTAGAGTACTGTTGTTTTTCTAAAATGAAAATGGTAAAACAGTTTTTTTTGAAGTCTCTCAGTAATATTTGAAATGCTATATATCTGGTTTCAAACAGACAGAAGAACACTAAAGATCAAGAGAAGAAGAATTACTTACCAGAAAGAAGAATTTCTAGAAAGTAATAATGTTTGCCAGTCCTGGAAAGTAAGCTCTCGAACACATTAGCATGAGTTATTCTATTCATTTTCAAGTTTCAGTAATTTTTGTATTAGACATTCAAGAAGAAATCCTCCCTCATCTCAACTTTGGCAGTTTTACAAAGGTAAAATTAGCTTAAACCAATAGAAGGACTGTAAGTAGAGCGCACAGATGTAGAAAGCAGCTATCAGAAGCTCTCTTGGGCTTCTGAAGGTAACCTCGTAAGCTTTGGCTTCACAGGCACAGCCACAATGCAGCAGAGACTTAGACACCCAGGCAAGCCAGAACCGGGAAGGTCAAAGGGGGATTCAGAGCAGGGAGTTCTGTGGGGTAGGCTGGAGAAGCAGTGCAGAATCCTCTGGCAGCTGTAGAATGAGTGATGTGTCAGCGATCATAATTTGTAGCCATCTTTAATGTGGTACTTGCAAGCATGACAGACTTAGTTGTTTCATCCTTTCCTCACATATTGCTGCCATGATGTTTTGGACTTCTCCAATGAAATACTTCTACCTGTTTTTTTTTTTTAAAGCAAGTATTTATTTTTATTTATTTGAAGATTTTTCTATAGTACTTAGCATAGTATTATTTAGTACTGACATTCTTCCAGGACTTGAAAAAAAGACTTCACATGATGACAAAACAGAAAAACACATACCCAAACGACTCCAAATGCCACCCCTTACCTGAAAGTACTTAATGAGGAAGTCATTTGCAGAGCTAGCTTGGGTTCTTGTGGAGTTTTCAGATAAATACCACCCAAACAGGCATCCTCAGAAGCCACTGAGCAGAAAGGCAAATGACTGAATAGAAACATGGTTCAAACCACTGCTCTGCTACTACAGGAAGTTTCTTCAGCTAGATAAGTTTGCACTGCCACCTAGCTTTGGTGAAATAGTACAATCCAGGGGAAAAAAGTGTTACTTTGCTCCCCAGTACAACTGGAGAATGTACAGCTTCTTCAATAACTGAATTTATTGACAGCAGTATGCAATATGGCCTTTCTTGCTGTGCCTTTGATGTCTTTCTGAACTGCAGGGAGAAATGAATGTAATATGTACATACACTTTGAAGCTGCACCTCGTACGGAATTAGCCTGAGACTCTGAAGTGATACAGAGTGCCTTCAACAAGTACCGTTGTCAGTAGAGTATACGGTGCCATAAAAGCCGCATTGTCCACAGATTCTAAAGGTATTGGGGACCATTTTGTAATTTCTTTTGACTTTGATGCCAAAAATGTGGAACACTCCAAAGTAAATTTTCTCTCTAAAATCTTCTGCAAAGGACAAATGAATGTGCATCTATTTTTTTAAAAAAAAATCAAAATAAAGTATGTGCAAGAAAATATTTCATTTTTCAAGTCAATGAAAATATACACAAAATACTTACCTTCCAAATGGCTTTAGTGAATTTTTGCACTTTAACCAAAATATCTTTGAACAGAAATTAGATTGATGTTACAGCACATTGTGAAAAACATACCTCAAATACTGCAAAAAGTATTAACATTCTTTTTTAGTACAAACAATGCAAAGAAGTGAGACTAAAGCATTTTATTTATCTTTGAAATTGTTTACCTATATCAGTACATGTGATAATGTTGCCTTAGAAATGGTATACTTCCTATTCAGATTTTATTAAAATGTAAATTTTGGTGGCCTGTTCTTAGGATATGAAGCAAAATTCAATTAACTTTTATAAACCAGGTTGATGATAAAAAATGAATGTACTATGTCCTGATGGTGGCAAGGTTGTAAAGTGCCACTCCATTTCATGTTATTAAAAAGAACCCCAACAAGTTAAGCACATGGATGCTATTTCTTCTGCAAGTTCAATTATTTTGTTAATTTTCAGTTATGTAATAAAACAGTTAAATCTACAAAATGTAGCTGGAATCTCCTTCTTAGAGAACTTTAAGAAGTTCAGTTTGAATTGTTTTAATATGTTAAAAATACTTAATGCGATATAGTATCAGTTATAGTAATTTAACTGGAGACTACTCACTGTGACTCAGACAACAGGTATAAACTGAAATGAGAGGGTCCAACAGGACGTAAAGAAAAACATTTTCCTCACGAGGCCAGCCAGGCATCGGACAGGGGTGCAGAGAGGTTGTGTCGTCTCCATCCTTGGAGGTTTCAAGGCCGGATTGGATGAAGCGCCGAGTGACCAGATCTGATCTCGTGGCTGGCCCTGCTCTGAGCAGGAGGTTGGGCTAGAGCCCAGCCGGGGCCCGTTCCAGCCCCAAGTATGCTGTGACTCTGATCCTGCTCTGCAGCCACTAACTCCAGTGCAAAGAGCAGAACTACCTACAAGGTTCCTATAATAATTGCCCATGAAGCAGGCGTTTGATTGTCTAGGAATTTGGCCTTTACTGCTGGCCAGCTTTGACTGCAGAAACTGCGTGAGATTTTCAACAAGTAACGGCTTCTCCTCAGGAGACAAATAATCACCTGCGGTACTTTAGGGGCAGTACTTTGTCCTGCGTATTTATTGCAGGTAAGAATTTTTGGCAAGCGGTATTTAGAATCAAATAAAATATGGTAGGTATAGATCCCATGTAAAGGCTTAGGGCCTTGATTTAACAAAATCTTAAAAGTTCTGCATTTCACATTCTACTCGACTGCCTACTGAAGAAAGAACTTAAAGCACTTCATTCTAGCTATGAGAGAATGCAGCTTTCTTACTGTTATTTGTCAGCCGCCTTCCAAACGATTCATAGCGAAGCGAACAGGAAAATGTTCATTATCCTTGTAGTCCTGCAGACAGACAAACTTGTCGGTCTGCTACTTATCATGTCAAAGCAAGCCAGTTTCCAGAAAGAATATAGTCTTAATTTGCTGTCTTCTCAAATAATTGTATTAGATATTTAATAAGTTACAAACAAAAAACCCAAACACTCATAAAAATAAGGAAGTTATAAAAATTTAAGTCAACTCTAAGTTATTTATCATAACTTTATTCTCAGCAACAACAAAACCTATGCTGAATATCGTTTCAGTTCTAGGATAGATAAAATATTTTTAAATACTTATTTTGTACAAAGAGTAGTCTTTAAAATACATTTCAACTAAAAAAGAGCTGTGTAAGACATCAGCATATTCTATATCACTGTTTGACTAGAAACAATTTGAAAGCAAATACATTAAGGCAACATTAAACATGATACTAGAAATGGAAGTACTTGATTAAAAAAAATAAAATCTGTATTTTGCACCATTCTTCAGCATGAGGTGGTACCATACCTCCACTCACCAGGTCTATTTGAAATGAGTTACCTGACAACATGGATAGCAGCAGCACACTTAAAAGTATCTCATACTGTATTTATTGCAAAAGCTAGAATAATTTTAAAAAAAAATTTCTTCTGACAGACACTTCTCAAACCCCAAATTTATAAGAGACCAATATAATCAGTTTTCATTTTTTCTTGCTAAGCCTAACAGTTTCTTCACACTTAAATATAACCTAATAAAAATATATAACCTGATAAGAATTTAAAACCAGAAATATTACAAACGTCCCCGTTCAGCTTCTGCTACAACAACCGAATTCAGTGAGTGAAAGACTGGGACCTTGGAAAGCTGTCCATAGAGGTGAAAAAAGGATTCTTTAAAGCAGAACTGGCAGCATGTCCCTTCTATATGCAATTGCATGTTGCTTGGGAGCTCTCCAGGTCATCAGTGTTCACACCATAGAGATTAATAAGTTGAGGATGCACCCTGTGAAGTGAGGAAGTCAAACTTTATCAATTTCATTAAGTCTTGCAATGAGGGGTGTGGGGGTGTGTGTTTGTTAGAACAAATATGTATGAAGTGCTATATTGAATAAAATCAAGTGAATTACATTTTGACACTTCCTATACAGTCATCTTTAGAAGTATATATTATATATCCTATAACATGATCTGTCTTTTAACATATCAGACTGTTACTCTGAGCTCTGTGCCTTTGACTAATCCTGTGTGCATCACAGAAGAATGAGCCATCACCCATTTAATTCCACTGATAATCCTCCCATTTCCCTGTGCATTCACAGTCTCTTTCTTTGATCCTACATAAGGAGACTATTCTCAAGCAGTGCTAAGTTTCTCACAATTGAACAACTACAGGTTTTTATTAAGGTTACACACACTGATTTTTTGGGAATCCTTATCCCATAAGGAGCTCCTCCCAGAGTCACAGACCTTTCTATGCTTCTGTTCTCCTCTAAGAAACAGAAAGGTAAAGTAAGAGGCAGAAAGAAGTGCTGGAATGGAGCTGGAAGCTGACGAAGCTGCAGAAAGGAAACGCCAAGTGGGTCATAACGAACCTTCCAAAGATGGGCACAAGGCAACAGGGCAGAGGCTGAAACAGTGCCAAAGGAGCCAGACTGTGCAGCACACAAAAGGATTGTTCTTGCAGTATTTAAAACACCCAGTTTTGGTGTCATCTGTGTTACATACACTTGAGATTATGGTACTAATCTGTTACAGCTATACAGTCCATAAATGTAGTACTTACCGAACATGAACTTCTGATGCTTCTTCCATTAAGTCTCCATCTATATTCCAAGGGTAATTTCCTTCCGCAGAAGCAGCATTCAAATATGTATTTTCCTTGGCATCAAGCCCACTTTTAAGCCTTGGTTGTACTTTTACTTCTTGAACTGTGTAGGTCTCAACAAAGGGAA